CTGCATTTTAAAAAGCTCCTCAAGTGATCTGTGGTTACTGGCACATTTGGGGAATGTTGGGCTGGAGGACAGAGCAGATGCAGCCCCAGTTATGGGTCAGAAGAGGCCCATGGATAAAGAAGGGGTCTGCACCTCTGTGCTGCTCAAAGTATGGTCCCCAGACCAGGGCGCATTTGCAAGCACATCCATGATAAAATGAGAGAAACTGAGACACGTGTTTGGAAACTTTCACAGTGAGTTGACATCGCTGGTACACCCAAACTTGCTTTTTGTGTGTGTGTGTTTTCATTTCATTCTCCAACAATTCATTTTTATTGTATTTTATTAAAAATTTGGTCCAAGGTAGGTTGAAAATTAAAGGTGGTGGGTGTAAAACCTATTTCTTTATCAGATGATTTGAGAAGCGCAGAGCATAGACTGCCACCTTATACCAGGAAGTGACTGGAGATTTGGGAACCAAGCCAGCCTGGGGCAGTGAGAAAGCGGCTGGCTTTGAGGACACAGAGCAGGCATGGTGGGTGGAGGGTGGGCTGGGAACTCTGTGCTGGGAGGCTTGGGACTCTTGCCACAGCAGAGGTAAGACCTGGTGGACCCCTTGCCAGGGTCCCAGCTGCTGTGCCCACACTTGTCTCTGGAATGAGATGTGCAGGTATCGGGAGTCTCCTTGCAGGACAACACATGGGTTCAAACTCTCAGATCCTTGAAGCCGCCCTGCTCCATCACTTGCCTGCCTCCTTCTCTCCAAAGAGCAAATGCCCAGATTGCAGATTGCGGATTGCAGATCTTTTGGGTCATCGAGCAGTGACCATGTAACAGGGTGGGCACACCCCTCACCACCCTTTTACATACCTGCTGGCAGTCCTGGGAGGGCCCAGAAGTGCCCGGCCCCACGTTCCATGGGACGTCACAGTGCCGGTGTACCCAGGGTGGATCTGGTGGAGCTTCTGCCAGCCAGGAATCTACAGGGCACAACGGAAGCATGCTTGAGCTCCAGGGACCGATAGACCTGAGTTCAAATCCCTGCCCTGCCACCAGCCCGCTGCCCCTTCTGAGCACTGCTTCACCCCCAGTGCCCCCTGCTGACCCTTCAAAGTGCTTATTTAGATTCATGGGTCACCTCTCACATGACCATCAAAACACAAAACAAAACAAAACCTATCTTCAGAAAGCATGTCCTGTTTCCTGGAGGAAGTTGTACTTCAAATTAAAGAAGATAGTCATCTAGGGACATCTGAGTAATTCCTTTTCTTTTAACGCAAAGCTCAGCCTTCCTGGATGAACCCAGTGGGCTGCTTGTAGCCGCAGCTTGCTCATGCTCACGCTTAGTCGCTGTTGTGTCCAAGTCTTTTGCAGCCCCGTGGACCTCCCGCCCTGCCCAGGCTCCTCTGTCCATGGGGTTCTCCAGGCAAGACTACTGGAGTGGGTAGCCATGCCCTCCTCCAGGGGATCTTCCTGACCCAGGGAAAAATTGAAACTGTGTCTCCTGCATTGTGCTTCTCCTCAATTCCTTGCCTCCCTACTGCCCCCTTTCTAACATCCCTTGGAATACTTTTTGCCATCGTTGTGCTGGGCCCCAACACTCCAAATGGAGAAGATTAACTCCATCCTTTTTCTGAGTTTAAAGTGTTTGCGGGGGGACCAATGATGAAACAGATTGAAAGTCAGTAGGGCTACCCTGTTCTGACCCTCCCTCTATGCCAGATCCTGGGTGCCCATCCTCACAGCAAGCAGTGGGGCCGTGGTGTCTGTCCTTGTGGTCATTCCCATCACCACTGTTCTGCCAATGGCCTTGTAGAAAATTCCAGAACACAGAGATTCAGAGCTTCCGGTGAGTTGCCCATTCATAGCAGAGCTGGACTCAACCACAACCCCGCCTCCCTGCAGGGCCCAAGGTCTCAGTCATACCCAGAGCATCTCTTGTCCTCAGGGGTTTCCTGCCAGGAAGCATGGGGTGAAGGGGCGAAGGGTCAGAGCGCTTGCTGTAAATGACATTGCTGGTACACCCAAGCTTGCCTTTTGTGTGTGTGTGTGTGTGTTCATTTCAATCCCCAGCAATTTGTTTTTATTGTATTTTATTAAAAATTTAGTCCAAGGTAGATTGAAAATTAAGAGGGGGAAAAGCCTAGCTCTTTATCAGATGGTTTGGTTAAGACCTCTTCGAGTTGTCCTTGTGGGCCCCAGCCTAGCAGGTGCTTTCTAACAGGCAAATATTCTCATATGTTAACTATTGAACTCTGGGCCTCTTAGCAGCAAGGTTTGGGTGTCCAGGAAGTGGGGTACCATGCCAGGCACAGTAGTTCTCTCCTTAAACATCAGCTCTAAGACGGCTGCCAGGACCCTGCAGACCTGTTATTTTCATTGGCAAACCTGGTGGAGAGGGCCGCGTTTGTGCAAGGAACTAGCTCTTTCCAGAATAGCCTCTCAGCATGGCAGAAATCAGGTAGACCCGGGCTGGATCCCAGCTGGATCCCAGCTGCCTCTCTGAGAGGCCAGCATGTCCTGTGTCTTCCAGGATGCAGCCCCAGCATCGCTTCCTCCCATGAAGCCTCCGCTGGTCCCCACGCAAGTGGATCTCAACCCTGGCTGCACACTGCAATCATCGGGCAATTGAAAACTCCCCTGGTGATGTCAGGGGATCTCCATGTGGAGAACCACTGGCTAGACTGGAGGTTAACACACTAGCTCCAAGAAGCTAGTACATAAGAACGTGAAAATGTAGGTACTCAGTCGTGTCCGATTCTTTGCAATCCCATGGACTGTAGCCTGCCAGGCTCCTCTGTCCTTGGGATTTCCCAGGCAAGTTTATTGGAGTGAATTGCCATTCCCTTGTCTAGGGTATCTTCCCTACCCAGGGATCGAACCCAGGTCTCCCGTATTGCAGCAGATTCTTTACCGTCTGGGCCACCAGGGAAGCCTGTAATTATCTGCTGAACAAAACGGCCCTTCATTTACGTATCATCTGCGGCGGCTTCCACCTACAAGGGCATTTGAGTAGTTGTGACGGAAATCATCTGGCCTCTGAAAGCTCATATATTTACCGTCTAGACCTTTCAGAAGAAGTTTGTCAGCCGCTGAACTGGACAGTCAACCTATTCAACCTTCGTAACATCCTTCTGTCTTAAAACTTAGCACGTGAAGTTGTGATCATTGGTTCGTGTGTACGGCAGATGGGAGCATCTCAAGGGCTGGGACCTCTTTGAGTTGTCCCTCTGGTCCCCAGCACAACAGGTGCTTGCTAACTGGTGGGTGTTCTCAGATGTTGACTATTGAACTCTGGGCTTCTTAGCAGCAAGATTTGGGTGTCCAGAAAGTGGGGTACCTGCTGGGCACAGTGGTTCTCTCCTGAAACATCAGCTCCGAGGTAACTAAAAGCAAAGTAAAGAACAGAAGGATGATGTCAAGATGCAGGGCCACAGATAAGGGCTTGGAGGTACATTCAGTGTGCTCTAGGACATGCAGTCATGGTTGGAGTTGTTTCTACTTCAGGGGACTAGGTTATTTGTCTAAAGGTACTGCTCAGCAGTAAACAATCTGCCTGCAATGCAGGAGATCTAGGAGATGTGGGTTGGAGACCTAGGAGATGTGGGTTTGACCCCTGAGTCAGAAAGGCCCCCTGGAGAAGGAAATGGCAAGCTACTCCAGTATTCCTGCCTGAAAAATCCCATGGACAGAGGAGCCTGGCGGGCGACAGTCCAAGGGGTTGCAAAGAGTTGAACACAGTGCATGTGTGCGTGCGCATGCATGCACACACGCGCGCGCACACACACACACAAAGGTACAGCACATGCGGCCTGGACCTCGTGGAGATCTGGAATGTATTTGGCTTACACATGGGTGAGTGCCATGTGGGCATATGGACCTGCCCATTCTCTGACTCTCTTCAGTGGGGTGGGGGTGAGGGTCTAGGTCTGGAATCATGTTGGAGAGTCTGCAGTCGCCTCCACTCTGACCCTTGTCACCCTCTGCTCTGAGCTTGTCACCCATCCCTGGCCATGCCGGTCCCTCTGGACCTGCAGTGAACTTGGGATGCCAGAGGAGAAATTCTCACAGCTGTTGGTAGGAAGGAGAATTGTGGCAGATGTCGGAAGACCAGGGCTTTGTTTCTATGTAGAAATATCTATGGGAGTTGTTTTAATTTAGTTAAGAAAAGTGAAACAGCTAATCAAAGTCTTTTGCCCGCAAATCAGAAAATAGAGGTAAATTCAAAAAGAAGGCTTTCCGGGGAGTGGGGAAAGATTAAAAAAATAAAAGGCTTCAGATTTAATCCCCTTTATTCTCATTATCTGGGGTTAATCACTGTTAACCTTACGTTCTGCCAAGTAATGCTTTGTGCATATCGGTGTGTAATTAAAATTTTTAAATTAATTAATTAATTAATTTTTTGACTGCACTGGGTCTTCGTTGCTGCCCGAGGGCTTTCACTAGTTGTGGCAAGCAGGGGTTACTCTCTAGTTGCAGTGCACGGCTTCTCGTGGCGGTGGATTCTCTTGTTGCAGAGCGTGAGCTCTAGAGCGCCGACTCAGAAGTCGTGGTGCATGGGCTTGGTTGCCCCGCGGCATGTGGAATCTTTCTGGACCAGGACTCCATCCTGTCTCCGCTGCATTGGCAGGCAGATTCCTCACCCCTGGACCACCAGGGAAGGCTTAGTGTGAAATTTTTCAAACACACTGCACACTTTCTTTTGTCATATGCCATTTGCGCGTGATTGAACATCTTTTTGTGAGAGCGCATAGGTTTGCTTCCCTAGTCTGCCTCTAGTTTATCAGCTGGATGGCACCTGATTGGTCATGTCACCTTTCGATACCTCAGTTTCTTCATCAATCAAATGGAGGAATGATGCCCATCTCACAGGGCCACGGGAAGGATCCCACGGGGCGATGGTGCCAAGTTGCTTTGCTGCGTGTTCTCCGGCGAGAGGGGCTACACTTTTCCAGGTCCTGGGTCTCTGCCAGCTCAGCCTGATCTTTCTTACGCCAGCTTTTGGCTTCTTTTCTTTCCAGGATGGAGAAGGGGGACAGGCACGAGGAGGAGGACTTTCGCTTGGACTGCCGCCACGAGAGATACCCCGCCCGTAAGTGGCCTCAGCTGCAGGAGCCGGCGCTGCGGATTCGTAGGCCGTCTGAGAAGAGAGGACCCTGGAGACGGGCCAGGCTGAGCTCTCCCTGCACCCCTGCATTCCCCCCTAGACACATGCTATAGAGGGCGGAACTGAGGCTGGGGGCAAGAAGAGCAAGTCTTCCGCATGCAGCAGCCACAGCCCTTGCGATGGGTCGGAATGCTAAGGAAGCAAGAGGGCCACGGGGTGCCTTAAAGACAGGCAGGGGAGCCACAGCTCCATGCAGGCTGGGTTCGCCATGGGCCTGAAGGGACGGGAGCTCTGGGGTAGAACTAGCCAAATCAGGGGGAGTGACAGCTCCCAAGATCTGAGTGGTGGGTGCTCCCGGAAGCTCAGAAGGCTTCACTGTACAGGACAGAAACTAGGGTTCCTGTGCAGAAAACAAATGTCAGAAAGCAAAAGAGAGGTCAAAAGAGAGGAAGGCCATGCTCCCGACAGAAAAGAACGGAGCTGATACAAGATTAAAAGGGCAGAGTCTCATCTGAGCCTGCGGCTTGCCCACCCTGTGCTCCCTGCCCACCCCACTCTGTACTAAGGACTTTTTCTGTCTGATCTCCTCTTCCTGCTGACTGCCAACCCCGATAGCTGGGATTACGATCCACACTTTGCAGAAAGGAGGGCTCAGAGAGGCGGAGCCACTTGCCAAAGGTCACACAGCTTAGCTAGTCAGTGGCAGGGCTGTTAGAGCAGGTGCTGTCAGGTCCCTGCTCATATGTCTCAGACCTGTTAGGAGACTGCGGTGCCTCCTAGCTGCTCGTATCTGCATCTCTGTGCCTGGGGGCTTGCTCCACCTCCACCCACAGAAGGCAGGCAGTGCACAAGGAGGCTGGCACATAGATACCCCGGCTCCCTCGCCCCTTGAGTAGGATCGCCTGGAGGTGTGTGATTTGCAGGATTACCTGAGTGTTACCAGTCTAGTGGGCTTCCAGGTGGCTCAGTGGTAAAGATTCCACCTACCAGTGCATGAGACGAAGGAGACACAAGTTCTGTCCCTGGCTCGGAAAGATCCCCTGAAGGGGGAAATGGCAACCTGCTCCAGTATTCTTGCCTAGGAAAATTCATGGACAGAGGATCCCGGCCAGCTACAGTCCATGGGGTCACAGAGAGTCAGACACGGCTGAGTGACTAACACACAGCACCATGTCTAGCAGCCACCTGGGGTTGGCCGCCTTCCCTCCCTGGGCCACGCTCCCCCTCTGCCAAGTTTTGCTGCACCTCTGTAGTGTCTCCCCTTTGCTCTAATTCCCTTCTCGGGGTCTGCTTCTGGGGAACGTGAACAAGATGGCAGAAATTTAAACTCAGGTCTGTCTGACCCCACCCCCTGTGATCCTAGTAACTGAGTGGGGAATGGCTCTGATGGGAGAAAGAAGACAGAGGTGGGTGAAGGAGACCTGGTTGGGGGGGGAGGGGGAGGAGAGGGTCTTGTCTCCATGCTAAAGGAAGAGGCTCCTGGGGGAGGCACCATTCCAGGAAGATGATCAGAATGCTGACTGTTTGCCTGAGGAACTGGGATGCATGGTGGGCACATGTACTGTGATTTCATGTCAGGTGTCAGGATGGGGGGCTTCCTGGAGGAAGAGGTCAGGAACCAGGGCACAGAGGTGGCCGCAAAGTGTTATCTCCTCTGATAACAGAGGAGAGCAGGAAGCACATGCTAGGGATGGGCTGAGAGCCCTGGCATGTTCCAGAGCCCCACCACAGAGCACCACTGAGTCCCTGCTTGGAAGGGCATCACCCCTTCCCAGGGGGGCCCTGCAGAGTGGGCAGGAAGCCCTGGGTGGAAAAAAGTTGTGGGGCTTGTCTTGGGGGCAGCTGGGGAGACAGGAGGAGGAAAGGCCAGATCCCTGAGGCCTGAGGATGGAAGAAAGAGCTGAAGGAGTGTGTCTGGCCCTGAAAGCAAGCCCTCAGATGGACAGTGGGGACAGCTAGGCTCGGGGGAGCCACAGAAGCTCTGCACCCTCAGCCCAGCCCCAGCAACCACTTCACCTCCCAAGCATCGGATGCATTCCCCTGGTCAACTGTGGAGAATTCCATCTTTTGTGCCCCTAACAAATACCAAGCTGCTCAGGTGCTCCATATTGGCGCTAGAGATGCAACCAGGAGCCAGATGAGACAAAGCCCCTGCCTGTGAGGCGGGGAGTCTAGAGGAGAGAGAATCAAATGAGATGTGAACTCAGAAACAAATAAGACGATCTCAAGTGCTAAGGAAAGTGATGATAAAGTGGGATCCAGGAGACCCCTTTAGAGGCATCTCTCTGAGGAGCAGCTGGAATGGGGACTTAAGGAGTGAGAAGGAGTCAGCCAAAGAGCCTTCCGGGCAGAGGGGCCGCAGGTGTCGAGTCCCCAGGGCAGGGACAGCCAGCCCTAGAGGCCTCGTGGCTGGGGTGGGGAGAGCAGTGGGTAGGTGGGGNGCCAGCCCTAGAGGCCTCGTGGCTGGGGTGGGGAGAGCAGTGGGTAGGTGGGGATGGATGGCAGGCCGGGGGCTGGGGCTGGGGGACCCAGGAGGTGGGGCCATGCAAAGGAGTTGGCTCTGCAGTGGGGAGCCCAGGGGCATTTTGAGCAGGGAAGAGACTTACCCAGGTTATTATTATTATTATTATTATTTTTTTTTTTTTTGGCTGCACCATGTCTTATTGTGGCACATGGGATCTTAAGTTGTGGCATGCAGACCCTTAGTTGTGTCATGAGGGCTGTTAGTTGCAGCATGTGGGGTCTAGTTCCCTGACCAGGGATTGAACCCAGTCCCCCTCCATTGGGAAACGAGGAGTCTGAACTAGTGGGCCACCTGGGAAGTCCCTTACCCAGGTTATTTATCTGTATCTGTATCTACATCATCTTTATCCATACCCATGTCTACCTGTCCTCCTTCTATCCATCTGCACTGTGGGAAAAAGGACGGGAGGGGAGGAAGAGAGATACCAGGAGAACAGTGTAGACGCCGTCGCCATCATCCCAGGAGTGATGGTGGCCTGACCTGCGGCAGCAGAGATAAAAGTTGGTGAATTCAAAAACCTTTTGCTGAAAGAGTTGTCAAGAGTGCTTGTTTGTGTTCCTCCACAGCAGATCCCGAGATGGAGATTCAACAGCAAGTGCCTTATGTGAGGCATCACAGAAAATGCACATAGGCTCCGGGCAGGCAACTCAGCAGGGGAAAGTAGGTGGCAGGTGAAAGTCACCTTCCAAGTGGTCATCAGTGGAGCCTCCTCTGGGGGACTCAGTGTTATACCCCCGGCCATGGCAGTAACTCTCCTTGGGCATTGTGTGAGGGCTACTGGAGTGGGGTGGGGTGGGGTGGGGTGCATGAATCTCCTGGGGTGGATTGGAGAAAGTCTCCACAGGAGGTGAGCAACATGCTTTACTTGTCTGAAACTCCAATACTTTGGCCACCTCATGCGAAGAGTTGACTCATTGGAAAAGACCCTGATGCTGGGAGGGATTGGGGACAGGAGGAGAAGGGGATGACAGAGGATGAGATGACTGGATGGCATCACCGACTTGATGGACATGAGTTTGAATAAACTCTGGGAGTTGGTGATGGACAGGGAGGCCTGGTGTGCTGGGATTCATGGGGTCGCAAAGAGTCGGACACAACTGAGCAACTGAACTGACCGAGGGTTGAGGACAGACAGTTGGGGCTGGGGGATGCTGAGATGGTCTAGAATCATGTAGGGTGGGGAGAGATGGAGACTCCGTGAGGTCCTATCACCCTGGGGCTCAAAGAGAACCATGAAGGGCTTCTCTGGTGGTTCAGTGGTTAAAACTGTGCTTCCTATGCAGGAGGCATGGGTTTGATCCCTGGTCAGGAAATACACACGTGCTGCGTGGTATGGCCAATTAATAAATAAATAAAATGAAATAAAATTACTGTAAAAAATTAGGTAGCTTTTAAAAAGAGAAAGAGAAGCAGGGAAGCTGGTGGAGAAGGGACCGCAGCTCCCAGAGGTTTCCCAAACCCCAGCTTCTCGGGGAAGAAAGGAACCTTTGACCCCACAGTGCCTCTGCGAGGCGTGCCTTTCATCAGGTAGCCAAGCTAGTGGGTTGGCTGTCTTTCCCCTGGGACCAGTGGAGGCGCTGGGGACTCAGAGTTCGAACAGTGAGGTAGAGAAACACCCGGTCTGCTGTTGGGGCCAAGGGCAGGGGCAACAGGGCGTGGGCAGGATGCTGGCTGGAGGGCCGTGGTTACTTTCACTGTCCTGAAGTGGGCTGTGTGTGGCCATGTGAAAGTCATTGATTCACTCACGTATTCAACAAATCTTTGCTAAAGATGCTTCTCTGGGCTGGACGTTGCATGCTGGGCCCTGGAAAATGGAGATGAAAAAGGCGAGTCTGGACCCGGGAGCTCCCAAAGCACTGCTATATTATTGACCAGAACTACCATGGGGTCAGCACAGCTACCAACAGAGGCCAGGCACGTCATCCTGCTGAGTGAGGGAGGGGTAGAGAAGAGGAAAGAGAGGGGTACTTAGTCTCCGGGTGGTCCAGCTTGTTGAATTCTACAGCTATAATGATGATACCTGGACTTAATGAGGAAAACAGCCAACCGGAAGAGCTCTGTCAGCCCCACCAGGTCTGATGACAACATCTCACCCTTGTGGATGCTCTGAGGACTTTACATTGATCTTCTCCCTCTCATTTAACCCCAAACTTTTGTGAGAGTTGGACCATAAAGAAAGTGGAGTGCTAAAGAACTGATGCTTTTGAACTGTAGTGTTGGAGAAGACTCTTGAGAGTCCCTCGGACTGCAAGGAGATCCAACCAGTCCATCCTAAAGGAGATCAGTCCTGGGTGTTCATTGGAAGGACTGATGCTGAAACTGAAGCTCCAATACTTTGGCCACCTGATGCGAAGAACTGACTCATTGGAAAAGACCCTGATTCTGGCAAGATTGAAGGCAGGAGGAAAAGGGGGCGACAGAGGGTGAGTTGGTTGAATGGCATCACCGACTCGATGGATGTCAGTTTGAGCAAACTCCAGGAGTTGGTGATGAATAGGGA